GGTCTCAAGCCAGGAAATTGGCTTCCTGCATGTAAGATGCTCACACAAACACGTACATACACGTACCCTGTGCTGTAATGTAAATACATCTCTGATCAAGTAGTCTGAGGAAGAGGATTTCCTGTAGGATTTTTATTTTTATTTTGTGTGGATGTTTTCCCATTTCTTTCTCAAGTTAGATAAGCAAGTTTCTTCTTGCCATGCCAGTTAGCACGCAGTAAGGGGTAACTTGTCAAGTTACTTGTCAAGTAAATGCACCTTCTCAGTCTCTGTTGGTCCTGGGTCTGTTTCCTCAAGAAATACAGGGATAACCTCTTTTTTTCCCCCCCCTGAAACTACTGTCTGAGGTAGTTTCCTTAGGATGAATGCAATCCAAACTCATTTTCATTTCAAATTCCAGCCTCACAGGAAGCACATACACAAACATAAGTGATACCTTACATACATAAGAGTTTAAAAGCAAACGAACATCCCCCTATAGCTCTGCAGCTTCCTGACAACTAAATAGTCCTCAAGCATGTAAAGATACGCTTTCACTGCAAGCTAACCTGATTTGTACTGAAAAGCTACAGCTTATTCATGCTGCAGCTGGAGCCGGCACCCTGTCTCTTTCGGGGATTTCTGGGGACACAACCCCTCACAGTTAGCGCTGCAAAACAGTACAATTTATCCCTATTATTCTCTATATGGAAATACATGGGGCGGTCACCTGCATTTCTGGCCAAGACGGAGGAGGAACTGCAGGAGGGCACTGGAAGTCAACACAGAAATGACTTATTCTGGTCCACTCCTACGAGCACTAAGCTAGCACTACTACTGGGCAACCAGCATGAATGAAAGATCTACGTAGCCCACAACCGGCTGCTGGCATAGGATGGAAAGTACTTGGAAGAAGTAGTATGTAGACAGGAGGGTAAACAGCAATAAAACCTGAGCAAGACTATGAACTATAATTGCCTTGAAGATGTACTCCAAATCTTCACTCTGTAGAGATTAATCAGTACCTAGACACATTCTTCTTCAACATAAAAGCTCTGGGAACTGTTTTTGTACCACTATCATATAGCCAAATGCCTGAATTTGTAGGTTACATCTTAAGAGAGTCACAACAGATAAAACTCTCATATGAAATTTAGGGGGAAAATAATTTGAGAACCTTTTGGTTCTTTTTAGAACTCTTACAATTCATATCATCCAGGTTTACTTTCTTTCCTTCTCCCTAGCTTAGTGAGCCAGTCTTGCTGGTTCTTTCACCTCAAGGTGAAAGTCAAGATTTTCAGATACTACAGAACTCCCAGAGATTCATTTTAAGGAAAAAAAAAGCACTAAATATTGTCATGGTTGGCAAAATGCATGTCAACTGGAACATACAAATGCAAGCTGATACATTGAATGTACAAAATAATAAAGAAGTTTTGAAAACCTGCAATTAATTCCCTGTGTATATATTTGTATAATTCCACCCAAATAAATTGAATTTTACAGTGTAGCAGGATGAATAAGCAGAACTTTATTAAAAATAGAGCATATATACTCCTTAGAGAAAAAAATCAATCTACTGAATAATGAAAAAATATCAAAAATTCCCAAACCTCCTGTGTAATATCTTAAGTTCTGTTCACCAAGCTATATATTGAATTTTGTATATTCACTCTTCACAAACTATACAGGTACTGAAATACTGTAGTTTACGTAGTTCAGAGCATTAGAATGGTTTTGTGTTTTGTTAGCTGTTTTACATTATGTTATTAAATATGATAGCAGTCTTTACTGTATCAGAGCTTCAGTATGTACTACATGGTTATGTAGCAGGATGCTATCTAAACAATGAAGTAAAAAATGAAAGGTTTTTCAGGATAATTTAAAAGTCTATATAGAAGACGACACTTCTAGATACACAAGATACATTAAGCACTTAGTGAATCAATTGCGTTAGTTGCTTTTTTGCCACAAAGGACTATTAAATATAAAATCTTGTGATTGGACTCAGAGTGGGGACTTCAGTTAGTCAGCTAAGTGTTACCTCCTCCTGCACTGAACTGTTCCCATCCACTATACCATTTACAGAGACACTTCATTGTGGAGATAATTAACTTCCACTTTTCAATACATAATTGTATGTAATCATGTATTCAATTGACCAGAAGAGCTCCCACTTAAATGATCTATGAACTACAATTACCTTTCACCATCAACTCCATTCTTCTTCTGCCAATTTGTAGTCCAAATTCTCCTAACTTTTATAGATTTCTGTTTGCACACTGGCACTCTCCATTTTCAAGAAAAGACTGATCACAAAATAAAGCTTTAACTTCGGAAAAAATAGAAGGAGGTCTATATTACTCTCTTAGTTTCCAGACCTGAAAGGCAATGTTGCAAAACCACAGCTGAAATTTAAAAAATCAGGTCATCTAAATTTTAATAAGTCAACCAAAAGAGTGGCTCTGTTTTTCCTCTCTGCTTCAGCATGCTTTATCAATAGTAATCACAATGCTAGGACACAAATCCAAGCAGTAACCTTCGCAGAAGAGTAAAAACTACTTCTTGTTATGTTTTGCTCTATTTGTTTTTAGCTGGATCGGGTTTGTGATCTGCTCATCACAAAACTGCTGCCAGTACACAGGAGGCAGCGGCAGTAAACAGACACAACTGAGAGAACTAGGAAGACAAATTAGCACTTGAAAACTAGTTTTGAGCTAGTTAAGATGGACACTGCTTCCCAATAATTACCTCTTTCTTAAGAGTAATAAATGCAGCTATGCATTGAGAGCACCCAGAGACTCAGAATGTAAAGCATTACACATATTCTGCTGGAATGCTACTAGTACCTTAGCTCTGATGGTCTAGGTATATGAATGCAGCAAGGTTCAGGGAGAGAGATAACAATCCTTTTTGCAAACTACTATAGCTGTATGGCACCTGAAAAAGGTGTGCCTTTAAGTTTGTCTATTTGTATCCATGGTATAATTTTAAAGCTTGATTTTCATTACAGTTCTGAAATTATTTCATGTTTTCTGTTCATTACACCTACTGTTAAACATCTCCATTTTTCAGGTGCTCACCTTGAGATAAATTGTCCTTAATAACTCCATCTGAAGTCAGTGCCAATGGGAACTGTGGGTTCCACACACCCCTGAAAGGACTTGAGGGACCACACCATCATAAACAAGACAGGCAAATTAAGTACAAGCAGGTAACTAAGGAGGCACTTTTGGAAATGATGACCTTAATTTCTTTGTGCCCAATTTCCTCCTTTTGTAAAAGAAATACAAACACATGCTTTGCCTTGGTATTGTAAGAATTGATGTGTCATGCTTGTAAGATTGGATTGAGGCCCTCTAAAGAAACACAGTACAACGTAAGAAACACTGTATTTAACACGAATTTATCAGATATTCATTTGTAAAAAATAACTGCAAAATGACATGTGCATTATTATTTAATGGCATAATAATTTAACACATGCTAATATGCTGTGACAGTCTGGGGAACCTCTGTATACACAGCGTATGAATGGTGATTATTCTGGAGAATTCACTGCATATAAAATCACATACCTGTCCAACAGTAGCTGCAGAACATTCAGGAGTCATTAACTAGAAATAGCTTTGCTCCAACAATATGATAAAAGTACTGGAGAAGGTGAAGGGAACTGGAAGCAATGAAGGAGATAGCAAACTGAAGGGATTTTTTTTATTGTAGTAGTGGAAGAAATTGTAGGGGTTTTGTTGCAGGGTAACCAGAAAAAAAGAGGAAAAAAAAAGAGACTGAGGGAATGATTTGAGGATCAATCAGAAAAGATCGTCCAAAACTTCAGTTGGTATCTGGAGTGACGATGGCAACACAGGAGACGGCTTCTTTTTGCCTTTTGTGTAAATAAAGCATGTTTTAGAAGTTACACCGCAAAACCATAGAATTCCCTGCTGTAATTGTTGGGGGTTGCTATGGGTTTAAAAAGTCAAGCGGTGTCAAGTCAAACTCCTAAGAGTTCAGGAGAGCCTATTGAGGACACCTAAGGAGATTACTGTTGGTTTTCTTGCCTACAGCCATGACAGTGGACAGAGGGCTTGCACTGTGGTAATGAATCTGAAGAGCTCTTATATGCTCCCTGGACTCTGATTAGGCTCAGGTTTAGAACAGCACAGCATCAAATGTGTGAATCCCAAACCCAAAGTTTGGGATTTTTTTGGAGAAAGCTCGGCCAGAGCTGCGACATAGAGACACACACACACATATATATGCAGGCTGGCATTCAGCTTCCTAAGCTTGGGTGTCTACAGCCACTTGAGATGCCCCAGGGTTTTGGAGATGCCTGCATAGGGATGGCAAATATGATGCAGAACCTTCTGGGAGAGCAGCAAGGACACCCCGGAGCATCTCAGGTGGCACTAAGCAACTGTGTTTAGCGAACTGAATCCCAGCCCTCAATGTTCCTCTTTTTCAGAAGGAATATAATTCAATCACAGCATTTTATTTCAGATCATTCTTCAAGCCTTGCCAATAGGGGAGTAAAGGGGCAGAGTAGCCTGTATCAAGGCAGTGGTCGCAAAGCTGATCCTCGTTCTTCTGCTGGGCATGACCATGTCTGCTTCTCCCCTCTGGACAGCCCAAACATCCATCCTCATGAGGCAAGGTTTGTTTCATAACCCAAGTCACTGACTATTAGGAGGACATAGAGACATTTCCAACATATTTGAGGATATATAATACAGAGCCTAGGGTTTCTCAGTTAACAAAGAAGAGTACTGTCAACATCAAAAGAATATAATTTATAAAGTATAGTAAATAAATAAACTGCATATTTTTGGTGATAGGTTCAGGACAGAAGCTGAACAAGATTAGGTTTTTCCTTGCCAAGGATCAAACTGTTTTTCTGTATGTCAAATACTGTGCCTAAATAATTCCTGCCATCTAACAAGCTTCAAGAGCTTTTCAAATATTACTCTGCAAAGCCATCACAGTGTTTTCTACTATTTGCCACCAAAGGGCCACAGACATACCTGCTGATGTTTCTCTGAATTTGTCACTAGTCTTCTTCTTCCGCCATTTCCAAGGTTTAAAGATTTTGCCAATGGTGGAGAGTTTGCCCTTCCTTTTGAAGGGGGGAGTTTGGGATCCTGGGGCTGGTCCATCCGAGTTAGCGATTGAAGCCTTATCCAAACCATCAACTGTATAAACAAGAAAAGTAAAGTTAACTGAAGGATGGAAAACGAAGTGCTATCTGACAGCTAAACTCCTCCACTGTCATATTGCAACAGGCTGCATGTGGGTCCATGCGTTTTTTGTTCCAGAAGGCAGCCAAATGGCATTTGACCACAGCCCATGGTTGCAAGCCAGTCCCCACCTCAGCTAGCCCTGGGCTTCACTGCTGCTCAGCCCCTCAGCTGCAGCAGGCCAGAACTTGCTTCTCCCGACGTGCATCTGGCACGCCTGCACGCTTCCGCAGCTTTTCTTCGCTACTGGAGAATTTCTTTCAACACATATTTGTGTGACTTTCTCCCTATCTTTGGTGAGCTGAATAACTAGCTGTCATCATACAGAAAACAAAACCCTTACAATGTAAAACCAGAAACTATTTCTTTTGAGTAAAAAGAATCCTTTCTTAAACGAGCTCTAAAGATACTGTTCTGGCAGTGGAATGGAAATAGGTCTGTTTGATATCCCTGGTAATCAGTTATTCACAGCACAGCCTGCCATGAGTCAGGCTTCTTATTAACAAAACGTACTTAACAATAAGCTTTTGGGCTGTAGCCAAAATTTAACGAAAGGTTACTTTTCTGCAAAAACATATTGAGTGATATGAAAGCAAACATTTATCATCAATGGCTGTAACATTGAGTTTGGTGAATCAAATTAAGATTCTTTCCGCAACATGTCATAGCATACAGTTAAAATAAATTTCCCGGAAATTTCCCTGAGAAGTCTACTTTTATCTACTTCTATTTAAGAACTGAGGTTTCTTACAGCATTCAGTTCACGGTCCTGCAAACACTTCAAATGTGCTTCGTCTTATTCACGTGAGCAGCTTCGCTGAAGTAACTGCCATTACTTACGTACATAAAATTAATCACAGGCTTAAATGTTTGCGGCATAAGGGCTTTGTAATTGCTTTCATTCATCTGAACATTCTAATTATAACCAATTCGGAACAGAGCTGATGCCACTGTCAACAGTAATAATGATAATCATAGATCATTAAATCAGAAAGTGCTATTCAAAGAAGGAAATATCACTGTCCCCATTTTACAGATGGAAAATATGAAGCACAGAATTGTTAAGTGCTTAATTTTATGTTTGCCAAATGGCTTCCTGAATCCTGGTCCTGTGTCCTAGCTGCTAAAAAGATACATATACAGACACATAACGTCATGGTGCAATCTTATTATTCTGTTTCTCAGACAAATGGAATTTGATGAATCCTGTATTTGGCCTAGACTTTAGATTGATCCAGGATGCTAAAAAAAAAAAAATCTTTTCTGTGAGAAAGCTGATGTCATGCAATCAGAGTCCAAGAAACTTTATTGCCAATGTTTTGAAATAAAGTACTGTGAAAAAAGGTCCATTGTATAACTTCATTGAAGTCTATGAAGTTAAAACCAGAGATAAATTTGTATGAAAATTATAGCATTTAATTCAATAAATTTGAGCAAGTTATGCCATAAAATGTAAAAAATTATGTACTGTCAAAGAGATGGAAAACTTCTCCAGGATAAATTACTGTTATTCAGATGCATCAGAACTTAAAGCTTTTATTTAAGTGTTTTCCTTGGGTACTTTCTGTTCTATAACATGGAGATAAGATGGAAGAAAGGCAAGCAAATGGGCTTGAAACGTAAAAAGCCAAGATTTTGGTAAGGATGGTAAGGACCCGAATATGTCTACCCCTTGCACGAGTACAAACCCCCAAATTCCTCACGTGTGAATCCTAGAGAACGTAACAGGTCAATCTTCAGGGATGTTTAAACTAAGACTCCCCTAAAACAAACCAGCTGCCACCCTGCAGACCCTGAGAAGCTGGATGAGAGGTGGGGATGAGAAGACCACCAAAGGCAGCGAGCCGCTCTGCAGAGAGAGAGGCATGGAACAGCAGAAGGACCTCTGTGAGGGTGCCTCATCTGCAATTGGGGATCACACTTTTGTCTAGGCTTACAGTCACTGACTGTGTTGTAAAATCCCCGGTGGAATACAGAAGTCTCTGCTGGAAACTGTGGATCTACGGGAGAAGTACATTTACTTGGAGGGTAGTTACAAAGATTAGAGGGCTAAATTTACCTTGGCAATTCCAGTTGACGTATGAAGGGGCAAGGGCCAAAGCTTGCAGCTGGGGAGAGTCAGCTTAGACATTAGGAAAACACCTCCAGGAGGTGGGTGGCACAGCACTGGAGCAGGTCTTGGGAATTTTTGGAGGCTCAGCCAGGAGAGACAGGCCTGACCTCACCTACTGTTGGTAATAGTCCTACTCTGAGCAAGGGACTGGATTGAGGGACCTCCTGAGGTCCCTCCCAATCAAGATTTCCCCGGGGCTAAGGGATGCGGAAAGACACAGTTGCTCTGTGACAGCTGTGCTAGTAAATCCAAAGAATCAGAAGTGCTGAAGAGATGAGACCAGGATCTGGTGGCTGAAGAGTTTTGTCCTGGGACAGGTGCCAGGCAGTATCTCACTGGCAGAGGCAGTCCCCCAGCTCGTTAGAGGGAAAGGCTACCCGGTCCTTGGAAGCAGCAAGACAAAACCCATGTTCCTGTCTCCATCAGCTTAGAAAGGTTGGATTATTGGTGTGAAGAGCCTGCACCTTGGTGACAGACAGCACGGTCTTTCAAATCCTTCTGGGTCATGGAGTCCAGTCTAGTGCAGGCAACCACTTTCACAAAAGCCTCATCTAAATTTTTTACTCC